AAWWARARARARAAAAAAAAGGTTGTCTGAAATAGAMAACTGTTTCTTCTTCCACAGAGCACTTTAAAAACAAAATGAAATATGAACCATCATATGGAGTTCTTTTCCAGAATAACATCCTTTCAGAACAAATGCCCTATACACCTCCTCTTTTGGGCAAGTTTTTACTCGAAGGGGATAGAACTTTGGATGAACTCTACTAATTCAAAGACAAAATCCAGAAATCCACATGTAAAAGAATAAAAAAGAGTCCAGGGAATCTGTCAGCATCAACTTGAGACAAGACTGACTTTACCTTTAAAGCTGYCAGTGCAGCTGCTACTGGAGCTCAGTGAGAGCTCAGGTGCTGCTGTGCCTGGTGTTACTTCCTGAACAAAATAATTCTCTCAGAGAAGGCCATCACCATCCAGTGATTATCACCCACAGATTTCACAGAGTTTTTTTCTTTTAAGACTAAAATGTTGTTGAAAAAGCATTGCAACAACTAACAAAAGTGAGACAAATGTACTAGTACTCACTGCATTCTTAACATGTATTTTTAATAACAAAATTATACAATGCTTCTTCAAAAGTATTGGCACTCTTTTTTTACCCTCAGTATGAAATGTAAGAWAAACAGATGGCAGCACTTTTAATTAATTTCTCCAAAGAGTTCTGAGGAGGAACAGCAGTAAGGAATGCTAAAATGCTTTTTTTAAAAACATTTTAGAAAAAAGTATGATATGGGTTTGAATGGTCAGGTGCTTGTTCTGTCACCTGTGTTTGCACAGTCCCACACAGCAAATTCWAACAGTAAAAAGCAGGCAAAGCGAATTGTTGACACACTTCAGCAATTAACAACATCCCAGATGATAATTTCTGTGACKTTTACACAAGCTCATGATCTGAGCTGCTAAATGTACCAACACTCCACACTTTCCATCAAGGGCTAATAACCATATTTGCATACTTAAAGGAAACACATTGCATTTGCTTGAATAACCATCACAGACTTCTCCTCYAACAAGGGGATGCTCTCATCTATTATGAGCTCCTGGCAAGCTGCCATATCGCTTGTGTTGGTCAAGGAGGTTTTTGCTGTTCCCAGATGAGCTGGATTCTAAAGTACAGTCACTCCACGAGCAAGGCGAGCCAGCTGGATTGCAGCCAACTCTTACCCAAAACCTGAGTAGCATCAGTAAATCAGTGCTTCGCTCCCTGAGGGGTTTACAGCACCAGCTCAAGCCTGACACTCCATTAACAAAGCCCTGTGACTTTTAGATCAGCCTCAGCTTGGAAGTGTTTTGAAAAAGGCTATTCCCGTATCTCATACAGTAACATTTCACAGCTGTATGATAAATTCAACAAAAGTAACTATTACTATTGACTCTCAGGTCACATGGAAGAACTTTTCACTAGCAAAGATAGTACTTTTAGACGCGGTAAGTACATTAAGCTTGAACATTAATTACGGTCCTTTGATCATCCATTCAGTCTTTCAATTCCTGACTATCATTTAATTCTCACTTTGTGAAAAATCACAAACCTCCACTGTGGCCTTAGACAGAAGAATAACCCATGATTTTCAAATTGGCTGATATTTCAGTGACCTGGAAGCTTTTCTCAGCAGTAGCAGAGAAGCTCAGCTTCATGCTGCTCATATGCACCATAATGTAAAACTGCTGCTGATGCTCTCTATTTCCGACTATATGCAAAGGTGGTGATACTCTCAACATTTTTCTAAGAAAGTATAGCTATAAAAATGCCTGATTTCTTCCCTATACAGTAGCTGGGGTGTCCTCTGGGGTTACCACACATCAGTGCAAACYATTGCTCATGAGTGCTCACCCTTTCTCACTGCCGCTCCAGGAGTGTTTCTCTCATCAGGAGAATTCTGATGACTGCACACCATGGAAGCTTGCACTTCTCTAATACTATTAGTGCAACTGTGCATCTTTGCTGCCCTGTTGGATTTYTGAGATGCCCAAGCACACACACATTCTAGTCAGTAACACAAATGTGTGGAAGCAAGTAAGCTGCTGTGCTTCAGAGCCAAACAACTTATCTTTAAAATTCTGCAGCTTGTCACACTCAGCAGACACAACGGTGCTCGCTGTCAGAGTGCCAACTTCCTCACATACACAGTTGGRTTCAGTCTCTGAGCTCTCCTGGAAAGGCATCCTTAGTGAGAAAACATTCATGGGTTTTTTTTCTGCTATAATCATGTTTTCTGAACAAACACACTCAAATGTGTCTTACTGCCTGCACAAACTACAGTTCTGCTTCTCTCCCAGCAAGTTATGTTTCAATCTATGCATCTTTCATAGCAATTTTCAARATTTGGCCTGAGAGCACAATGTCCCTTACACTTCTCASMCACTTCCCACACAGCAGGGATTTCTGTGTGCAAAATGCRAYTTAGAATTCCACCACAGACACAGGAATTCGCCACTCTGTTGGTTTTGCAGCAATAAATGTGCAGTAATTTCCTCCTCAGAAATGCAGTCCCCAAATCTACACATTGCTATTTTCCAGTTCACCCAT